ATCAAAGAGGACCTTTTGTCCAAGTTGTAAAACAGAGACCAAGAGGCAACTAAATGCTGTCTCCTCTGCACTTCCTGTGGGCTGAGGGCCTCCTTTAAAAGGGACTTCTCAGAGAAACACATCAACCAAGGCTTAGTATAGGCACTCAGTTCCCAGGATACAGTGGCTCCTGCAGAATAGGTACTAAGTGAGGCAACTCAAGGAGCCAGACAGAAAACATAGCCAACATAACACTCTGGAGGGAGCACAAGAATGGCGATGGGTACAAACAGATCCAACTGCACAGCACATTAGCAAAAGCAGACTAAATGTAAATACTCGCTGTAGAACTTTCCACTTGGAACTCAGAAACCATGAAGTCCAAGTCCTTATTTATTTATTTGCTTGTTTGTTTGTTTGTTTATTTGACACAGTTTCCTTGTATATCCCTGGCTGTCCTGGAACTCAAAGATACACCCTCCCTCTGCCTCCTGAGTCCTGTGATTAAAGGTGTCTGCCACAACTGCCCAGCATTTTTTAAAAGTAGACCTCTCTCTCCTCTCTCTCTCTCTCTCTCTCTCTCTCTCTCTCTCTCTCTCTTTCTCTCCGTGTGTGTGTCTGTATGTCTGTGTCTGTCTCTCTCACCCCCAGCTGGCCTGGAACTCCTTGTGTAGACCAAGCTGGCAGAACTCCCAGTGCTAGGATTGAAGGCTTGTGCTACCATCCCGAGCTGAAGTTCAAATCTTAGTGTCATCTATGACATGTACACATACAACAGACCAAGAGAGCCAAGTCCATTTGCCAGGCCACATATGAAAACAATGACTGCTGGAATGAGCCAAGCTGCTGCCTCCCCTCATGTTCTGAAAGCCCAAAGGTGACAGATGCTGCTACCACATGAAACTAGAGACAGAGGACCGTCCTGAATCCTGTTGCAGGACATGATCCAACTGCCCTACTAGTACTGCCTCTATTGGCTCCGAAGATCTTTGGTGTCAGACAATCCATTATTCTGCCCTACATGGAATAAAACCCTCAAAATAGGGTAAACTAGCCAGTGGCACACACCTGTAATCCCAGCACTTGGGGAGGCAGAGGAGGTGGATCTCAGGACAGCCAAACAGCCAAGGCTACACAGAGAAACCCTGTCTGAGGTGTGTGGGGGACACACACACAAAAAACAACAAAACCAAAAAAGGGTACACTGACCCAGGAACTCTACTCCTATGCATATACCCTAGAATACTGAAAATACGTTTATGCAAAACACACGCACATAGTTCACAGCAGTATTACTCCAAACAGCTAATATATGAGACAGTCCCAATCAACCGATAATGGGGATAAAGAAAGTGTGGTCTAGCCACACAACAGGAATGGTTTAACCATTTCCTAGTATAAAGTACTAGGAAAACTACAACATGAATGAAATTTTAAAGTATCATGGAAAAGTAAAAGCAGCTAGACTTGAAAAACCACATATTATAAATTCTCTTTATATGAAATGAGAAAAGGTAAATCCTCAAAGACAGAAAACTTTCTGGTTGCCAGGAATAGGTGGAGCAAAGTGTGGGAATGACGGGAATGTTCTGGAATTAAACAGTGATCCTCTAAATATACCAAAATCCACTGAACTGTGAACTTTAGAAGAGCTCAGTGTGATGGCTCACAGCCATCTGTTGTGGCAGTTCTGACCACCTCTTCTGGTTTTCTCAGGTCCCAGCATCTACAGGGTGCACATATATGCACACAGGCAAGCACTCACACACAGAAAATGGAAAAAGATCTTTTAACAAGAAGAGGCGATTTGTAGTCTATGAATCATGGCACTTTGTAGTCTATGAATCACATCCATAGAAATAAAACTGTAAGAAAAGCTGATACAGTGTGAAGGAGATGATATATATAAAGGAAGTAGAGTATTATATGCCTATGAATGTACTCAATGGACATTTCCCAAGTTCCATTAAAATATTCCCAAGAGCAGTTTTCTATAAGTAGATATTAGTCTGCTTCTCAATTCTGACCCAGCCAGATGCCAGATGAATTCTATCCTGTAACTTTATGGGGTGGTCTAATTTAATCCAGGGCAGAAGGTAAACTCCTGGTTTCCCTTTCCTATAGCCAGAGAATTCTTACTCTGCAAAATCAGGAAACACTCACTGTTGTGCTTAGCAGATCTGGGTAGCATTTGCTCAACTCTTAGGGAAAAGCCATTCATGAAAGTAAGAGAGGGAGGGGGAAAGCCCATGTACTGTATACCCACAACTCTAACTTTTAAAGCAAAACAGCCTCCCCAAATCCCTAGCCCATTCCCATGGCCACTGAGTACAGTAGTTCAGTTCTTCTTTGTATGACTTGCCTCAGAAGCTGACCCACCCAAAATGATTGTGAAACAGTGAAATAGCTTATGTGTACGAGGGGAGGGGAACAGCACTGACTTCTGTGCAGTAACACGCTTGGCAAACTAAATTCACATCTACCTATAATTCCACATCTACCTCTGTACAAACTTGCTTCTGTGCCTTTTCATTAAGCATGCAGTTTCTTGTGTGCCCTTTAAACTGGCCTCTGTGTACAACATTCTCCATTTATATTATCTATTACCTACCTACCTACCTATCTACCTACTTACTTACTATCTATCTACCTATCTACCTACTTACCGATCTAGATTTATCTCTTTGTGTAACCTTGGCTCTCCTAGAACTCACAATGTAGACCAAGCGGCCTTGAACTCAGAGAGATGCACATACCTCAGGCGCCCAGGTGCTACATTCTCCATCTACTGAAAGGGATAAACTGATTCCCATGGTCTATCTATCCACTAAGAGTAAGCTGGCTCCCCTAATGTGTTGTCCCAGTGGGGTAGGAAGTGAAGCCAACCTAACAAGACAATCCGTTTCAAAACACACTACACAGATTGCAAACTGAGCTACATGCACACTTCTAGAAACCGAGTTCTTATCTGTCTCCGGTTTCATCTTTTGGTCACTGTTTCCTACTCCACATTCCCCCATGTTTCTGGTGTTGTAGCCTTCTGTATATCCCTTAAACACTCCATTTGGCCTTCATGCTTGCCATCTTCTTTGCCTGGGCCATTCTTTGTAAAGTTGGTTTTTGTTGTCAACGAGGCTTCAACTTTCTGTGAGAAGGCTCTGCCATTCAATGCCAAATAGTTAGGTTGCCTAGTCACCACCACAGCATTTAGCACCAGACATTATTCTACTCATGAACTCACTGCAGGTTTCCTCGAATGAGAAAAGGTCCACAAGGGTGGGTTCCATGACCTTCTGACAACTATACACCTAGTTCCTGGCACTAACTGGGCACTCAAATATTTGCTGATCAAAGAAATGTATGCCAGAAACACATATTGCTAACTTATAAACTTTAAAAACTGTTTACAGGGCTGGAATTTCCCAGTTCAGTGTTATAAATGCCACCTTATTGAACTCTCTATGGCCAAGAAAGGGCGTAACTTGCTGACCTCACATCTGCCTTGTTCTGAATGTGGTGAAGGAGAAAAAAGGTTTCAACATCCCACTTTAGGGATTTGCTCCACTTCATGATTCAGGTTGCAGTCTGAGGCCACAGAAACCAGGTAAAACATTTCCCTCACCCCAACAGAGCCAGGGATCAAATTTAGGCTCTAGTGTAGGCTCAGCAAGTGCTCAATACCAATGAGCCATGAAATCTTTTACCTGACTTATGGAGTTATTTAAGAAATAAAGAAATAAAGAAGGAAGGAAGGAAGGAAGGAGAGAGAGAGAGAGAGAAAGAAAGAAAGAAAGAAAGAAAGAAAGAAAGAGGCTAAGTCAGCAGTCTGCTAACAGAGGGCAAGGCTCTGGTTAGCTATCCTGGCCCTGTTTAGAGAAAACCAACACGGAATAGCTTAAGCAAGAATTTTCCTTTGGTAGAGTCAAATGCCAGAAGCTTTTTCTCTGAGTCTTTCTTGTCATTCACTACCAAGATGAAATTAATTTTGTCTTCTGAGGAAGCAATATACAGCACCAGCCAGGAAAATTCACTTTAGATCTTTGTTCTCGTTCCTTGTTTGAGCTGAACTTCTCTTAGAAAATCCATTCCTTCAAAAACTTGATTTTGTGGTTCCACAACACAAGCTAACAAGTTGTGGCCCATCCTCCCGGTCTATGACCTCCACTTTCATCCACAAAGAGACTCAATTCTAGTCAGCGTCATGACAGTGAGCCTGCATCCATGAGGAACTGTACGGCATGGGGAGGAGATGCAGACAGGTAGGGGCCAGAGGTTTTCTTAAACAGTAACGCAGGGACCACCTCCATTATAAACACGGGGCTGCTGGTGAAAGTGTGGATTCCTGACAATCGCCTAACCCCTAAGGTACTGCAATCTTTGGGAACGAGGCGCAGGAAACTGCATTGTAACCTGTCTCCCTACCAACAACCCAAGATTCCCGTGCACAGCGAAGTTTAAGAACCAATCGGATAAAATCAGGAGAGACGAGTTTTGACAGAAAAGGCAACAGGGAAGGGCTTGGGAATGGATGATGGGCACGGCAGCAATCAAGCGGGGTGAGATATGGGGACAGCTGAGGGTGCAGTTAAGGACAAGGCTCGGGCTGGTTCGAAGCGAAGTAGCACCCGCAGATGGTCAGGATGATGGATATGGGGGTATGAACGTGAGGAGGAGTGAAGGTAGAAATAACGGGCAACTCTCGGGACGAGACAAGACCGGGAGGGGAGAACTGGGACATAGGGTGACAAGGGGTGGGGACGAACGCCAAAATGAAAATCGCGAAGACAGTAGCCGAGGTCTTCCTTCCCAGCGGCACCTCCCCTAAAACTCCAGGCCCTGACAAGCCTAGTTGCCATGCCAAGGCTAGATAAAGGGATTTTTGTGAGAGGCCAACCCAGTCAAGGGTAACGGAGCAGGGGTTCCTGGGGGAGGCGGAGGGCCAGGCATGGGGCGCCGGAAGGTCCCGGGCTATCCAGGGAGACCCTGCTCCTGCTCCGGTTCCCGGAGTCTCCTTCACTCACCACCGCCGCCTCCATCTTGGATCCACGTGTCGCCGTGATGACGTCAGCGGAAGTGGTGCTTCCGTGAGTGCAGACAGTAACTCCACAAAGGGGTCGCCGTACTTCAGTTGCTTTTGTAATCGCAGTAGTGAAGAGGTAAAGGAGACTTAATTCCCCCTTGGCAAACTGGTCTTAGCAGTGAGGTCTCTGACTAGGTGAAGAGAAAGTACGGTGTAACTATTAGAGCCATATTAACTTCTGGCAGACACTGCTCCTCCCCCTACTCCTTTTGCATTGTGGGTAATGGGGGTGTGTGGAAACATGCGCACTCGCTGGATGCCATCTTTACTATTGGCAGAAAGACCCGTTGCTGGGGTTACCCGAGCCCGTAATTGTGAGACAGAAGGCTTGGTAAACCCTCTCTGACGACAGCTGGATTCAGAGTAATTTGTAATTATAGGTTTAAATATTTATTTGACTATTGTATATCCTTACTAATCGGCCGTAATACCTATGAGGGTAGAACTCAGTCTGTCTTCTTGCCCTGCCTTTTTGTCATCTGTAAAATGGTGCAGAGATTTCTAGATTATTTTTATACTTGGCTTATGTTGAGTATTCGCTGGTACAGTCTTAAGTATTCGATAAATAATTGTCGTTATATAAATTATGAACATGCCTTCACACATATGGTAGGTGCCCCAAACAATAGACCTTGCTAAAAGAGTGAATGAAAAGCAGCACACTTAGTGAAAGGAGACATGTTTTTAATTTGAATTTATTTTTTATAATTTATTCACTTTACGCCTGATTGAAGCCACCTCCCTCGTCTCCTCCCAGTCCCACCGTCCCTCC